AATCTGGGTCTTCCTGCTATTGACAGCAGGGAATATGACCCTGATCAAGTCAGATTTCTTTCTTTCTTTCCACTTGGAAAAACAGTGCTTACCTTGGAGGATTTATGTCTCCTTTTTCTTTAAACAGAAGTAGTAAGTCTGGAAGTCTGATTTCAATCCACAAAAATCTCTAAACATACAAATGTTCATATCAAAACCACAGCATTTCAGTTTGCAACATTCTTCAGTCTGAAAGAAAAGTCATGTGGGAGCACATGCACACACTAATTGTTTTATGGATCTTTTTTCCTCCTCAGAATTTTACACAAGTATGAACCAATAGGTTTGGAAGTACATTTGCAGCAAGTCTGGAAACATGGCAAAAATGGGATTGTAAGGCTTTTCCTTCACAATGTAATGTATGTAAGGAGCACGGTGTAAACACTGCATTGCCTTTGATTACTGTGAGTCCTCTTTCAGGCAACTGGAATATTCTATCTACCCTCATTCCCTATCTCTGTGTGCACACACACACAGCCATGCTGCTCAGAGTCTGCCTGTTTCCACAGACCAGTTTTCCAAACCCCAGCCACTGGCCAGTCCAAGCTTATGTAAACAGCTTGGGATTCGAACAAACTCAATGACAATCATTGCTGATTAAACCAAACTTATACAAAGGCAAAGTAAATTGAACCAGGTACAGGCATGCAAAGATAAGATAGAAGCTGATTATCTTGCATGGCAACAAAGGAGAGGTGCCACAATAGAACAAACCAACGGTCCATCAGTTTCCAAATTGTTCCCTCTGGTTACAGCGAACACTTCAAAGAACACAGGGAGTCAACAATGCCAGAACTCATTTGGCACACCAAGAACAAGAGAAATCAGTTCATCATTTCAGTTTCTTCAGGCATATTTTAAGACGTTTATTTTTAAATTAAGAGGGTGAGAAGAACCTCTTCTGTTGAGCACCTAAAGCTAAAATAATTCTTTTTAACATCTGACAACTTCACTTACTCTGTAAAGTCATTTCCAACTGTGGGACAGCACCCAAGAGTTTCAGCAGGCCACTATGAGGGCAGTTTCTTTTTCCACCTCTCCTCACAGAGGCTGAAAACTTGATTTGTTCAGGCTGCAGAACATGTCACCTCTCACAGCTGCCCTCTCAAGGTGCACTGCTATGATAAGTGTGATAAGATGCCCTAGCCTGGAAGGTCACTGAGAACAGTGGCACTCAGTCATTCCCTTGCTCTGACAGCCAAGGCAGATTTGGTGGCCCTGGCAGGACATTGCCATCCATACAGCCAAGCTCTTGCTTGCAAAGTCTGAGTCTCCAAGCAACCACCAACTGTGTTTGCAGAAGCCATGCATGTAGATCCTCAGACACCAAGCACAATTTACTTGTCCTGGTAAAATCAGGTATATGTACACCATATGCTTCATCTATTTACATGAAATTTATTACAAAATCAAAACAAGTCAAGTAGTTGAACTAAGAGGAACTAAGAGGTTCTATCATCTCCACAAGTAAATTTAGGCAGGTTTTTTGAGTTAATTAATTAATGGTTGATTAGCCATTCTTTGTCCCCACAGAGACTATTTCCTCAGCCTTCAAAAATCAAGTATAAGTGAGGCACAATAATTAATTCCCTATTCTGCTCAGTTTGGTTTAAGCAAAAAAGAAAATTTCTTAGAAAAGACCTGTCTAGGTCTAAATTGATTTAATCAGAGACTGGAGTGTCAAATTGCCCTGGATGTTGAAAATATCAACAAGAGATTTTGCATAGTGGAAAACAGTATTTCTGACACCTTTTGAAAGAAATAATTCAGAAGAAAACCAGTCATGGCCTGACCTGTGCAAGACAGCCAGATTCCATCCTTTAAGTCAAGGGTACACAAGGGCCTTTGCTACTCACCAGAACAAGCAGCAATCAAAATAATATGAAACAAACAAAAGAACCTAGAATCTATGGATTAAAGCTTGGTGTCCAACTTCCCTTTTCTAAACAATATAATACAAAACCGAGGAAAATCAATCCTGAGTATCAGTTCTTAGCCATTACTATTCTACATACCACTGACTAAGATTCCTGAGCAGGAAAAGGGTGTGACAGGCAATCAGTAGATGTAGCTCTTATCGCTTGATAAACAGTGTTTTAACAACCAGCCAGAGATACAGGTCCAAAGTAATACATGGGCCATTCTAGGAGTTATTTCTAACTGTAATAATTACAGCATATAATTAAGAATACAGCCACACACTCCACACCTCACAGAAAACAGAAAATTAAGCCTCCTGTGGTTGTTGCTCCCATCACTGGGCTAGATCTTGGCCAGGGCTCTCTACTCAGCTTAAGTCTTTATGCCCTGATTTAACACCACTCCCGTTTCCTCTCCTTCCCCTCTAAACATTTAGGACAGCGACAGAGACCTCCCAGGCAGCTGAAAGCCCCCGGAATAGAGCAGGAGGCAGAGTGCAGAGGGAGTCAAGAAGTCAACAGGCAAAATGAGTTCAGTTTCTTAAACTCGTTTGGGCAGGAGAGACTAACACCAGGGTCCTTGCACACCCCACGGTAAAACCAGGCTTAGGATTCTATGAATGACTGTTTGTATGCTGACAATAGAGCAATCAAGTACTTCCTCCAGTGGGAAAGGAGCACATGCACTCCTCTGTGTGTGCCTGATGACTCCAAGTCCTTTCCAGCTCTGCACCTCATCCCTTGTATCCAGCTGTCTGCACAAAGCAGGTCCTGTGCCTCCTCCCAAGGAGCCGCTGGTGCTCAGCAGCTTCTCTGAATCAGACAAATCTGCCTCAGCAGTTAATTTTTGCAACAATTCATCTGCCAATGCTCAGTACCTGGCTGGCAGGGATTGTACTCCAGAGTATTCCTTTGCACAGCAGAAAGTTGCTTTGGGAGCTCAGAAAGAGCTGGACAAGTATGGACCAGAGACCAGTAATTTACACCGTGATTTAATGGGCACAACGAGCTTATGTACTACCAAAAAAAAAAAAAAAAAAAAAAAAAAAAGGTTGGGCTGAGAACAGTAAAGCCTCAATTCCCTCTGCTGGTGGGAATCAGAGTTAGGCTGCCTAAATGGTACTTGCAGATTGCCTTGTGAGAAACATACAAGGGTGTCAGTACCCTCTTCTGTCTCTTCAGTGCTGTAAGGAATTCGAACAATGCTTGGTAAGAGGCTTGAGAATATTTACAGCCACTGTCATTCGTCATTGCATCAGAAGAGTTCTGGAAAGAAGGGAAATGCTGGGGCTAATGCCTACACCATGGGTGTGTGTGGAGGGGGGAAACACGTAATGACTTACACAAATTACAGAATCTTAATTCTTGCGCAAACAGGATTAATCCACACTGCAAATACTTGCAAAAAAACCCCCAAAAAAACACCCCAGTTAAAAGTCAGGCTAGAACCTTAAGTAGTGAAAGGACTAGAAGCTTAGTTTTTGTTTTTCAGAGTTTTCCTAGACTTGCTGTTAAGATTTAGAGAAGATTAGTTAAGATATTGAAAACAGTTTGCTGCACCGTCCAAACATAATTTGAGACACTTGGAAGGTCAGAAACCATACAAGATAGCTACCTAAAACTCCTGGTTAGGGGGAGGAAAAAAAAAAGGGGGGGGGGGGGCGCTCCAATTCCCAAAAGTGTTTTACATTGTTCAACGACAGCTATTAGGCACTTCATAATTACAGTCATTACTCATTTTCTCATCTCATGGCATTATCATGAGGCTAAAGAGAATGGAGCCCACAATTATCTCAGCAGTTGTACCCAGTCATCTCCCAATTACATACACTCAGATGACAGCTGTTTCCCCTCCACTAAAATAAAGTTGGTACCACTTAACCTGTCGACCTAAACACTCCAGAATGCTCAAGTGTGGAACAGAAGCACAAAATCCTGAACTGATTTTACATAACAGTTACTTAGAAATAGAACTTAAAATCACAATACAGTAACAAAGTAATAAAAACTGACTTTGGTGTCTTTTGTCATAGGATTTTGACCACACAATATCTTTCACTCTAGCTGTTGGAATAAGCATGTATACATGTAATGGATATATACACATACATATATGTTTGTGCATGAATACAATAAACACACACCACATTCCTACCTGACCTTCTCACCTACATTTAACACGCGCCAATTGCCCAAGGGCCACACAAGCCTTCAGCAACAGCTCGATGGAAAAGCTGATACCTCACAGAGACACCTGTTGGGATGCTCGTGCTCCACAGACCTGCTAGCTGGCTTTGACACTGCACTCTACAGACAGTACTACGAAGCAACTTTCAAGCTACCTGCGGCTCAACAGCACCCTCCGAACACCACCTCCTTCCCATCGTAAAGGATAGCACAAGGCGGTAGAGCCGGGGCAACAAAAGAGGCAAGGAAAACGAGCATCACCTGTTTCTCATCCTCTTCTGACAAGACTACAGCACGGATAATTGATAGCACCTGTTCAATAGCACCTGTTTAATTAGAAACTGCTGCTATGCAGTGAGCATCGGCATCACACAGGTGTCACTGCTTGAAATCAGGAGCCATGCATCAAAAAGTAATAAAGAATGGGTGACAGTGCTACCTACTTCATTTCTACGTTCAGTATGAACAAGGCTCCCTGGGTAGCCTTCTGAAGAAAAGTGCCTGAAACCAGTTCCTGCACTATCTGATAAATACACCCAAGGGCTCCTGAACCGAGATACAGCATTTCTCTTAACTAAAAAGGCAAACTTTCCACTGGAGGGTGACTTTTGTTTTACTTCACACCTGCGGGGCAAAGAAAACAAAAAAAACCCCACTCCACCCAGAGCCCAAAGGACCGTATCTGCACGATGTGTAAGCCCGGAGCACCGGGCAGGTCTGGGAGGCTCCGTGCCCGAGAAGCCTCCGGGGAGGGGACTCGGCAGCCGGGCCGCTCAGGGCACGACCGGGGCAGCGCTGCAGCGCCGGTAACGGGAGCGCGGAGCAGGTGCCCGGCGGCAGCGGGGCGCTACTCACACGGTGAAGTGGTACACGAAGCACTTCCATCCCGTGGGCCGCTCCAAGAAGTTGTAGACCCTGCCCTGGACGCTGCTGCGGCTCAGCAGGGGCTTGCGGAGGCTGTAGATGGAGACGCGGGGGTCCAGGCTGACGGGGGGCCGCGGGCAGTCGGCGCTCACCACCAGCACCTCGCTCCGCAGGCGCGGCGCCCGCTCCCGCTCCGGCGCGGGGCCGCATCCCGCGGGCGCCTGCCCGCCCTGCGCGGCCGCCAGCGGGGCGTAGTGGGCGTTCGGGGCGCTCTCGGCCAGCTCCAGCGCCGCCAGCTTCTTGCCGGGCGTCATGCTGCCTCTCCTGGGCAGCGACAGCCGGCCCAGGCTGCGGCCCTTGGGCTCGCCCGGCGGGGAGCTGGAGGACATGGCTGGGGCGGCGCGGCGGTGCCCCGGGAGCTGCGGGCAGCGCCGGGCGCCCCGTCCCGCCGCAGACACCGCTGGCCCGGCCCCCGCGGGGCGGCTCCGGCCGGGAAAGGTGCGGGGAAGCGGGGGCGGGCCCGGCGCAGTCCCGGTGCGGCCCAGCGGGAGGCGCTGCCCGCGACAGCCGCTCCCCATGCCCGGCACCGGCCGGAGCATCCCCGGGCTGCGCTCGGAAGTGTCGCTGTCCTCATTGCTGAGCTTCGCCTCTAGCACCCGTGCCTGTCACCGCTACGGCTGCGTGCAGGTGGCCTCTCACCTGTGCGAGGAGCTGCCAGGGCAGAGAGCAGCGTGCAGCCTTCCAGCAACCCAGAAGCCCAGCAGACTTTTCCTGCCTTCTCGGCCACTCCGGTGTTTCCCAGAACTGTGGCATTGGGTGGCTTGAGCTCCTGGGGTACAACCCCTTACTTCAGATTTAGGTCCTCCAAAGCCTTCTGCACCTGGTGCTCCACTCCTTTTTTGCAGAATTTCAGCACCTGGGAGCAGCAGAGCTCTGCCAGAGTTTGGATCCTGGAGTAGGCTCTTTCTAAAATGAGTAACAAGAACTATGAGCCCAAACAACAGGTCTTGCAGTCCTTTGTGTTATTGTAACCAAAGGGAGTGAATAGCTGAAGAACTGGGAAAACAGTAGAACTCAGCAAACACAGTCCTGCAGAACTGCATCCTCTACAAGCTGGGTCCCTCACCAGCACTATTCTGGCTTTTGTGGAAAGTTGCACATGTTTGGCCATTGAGACCAGGTCATTTTGAGGGCCTGGATAACTTTCCTGTGTGGTGGAGTTAGTTACACCTCCCATAACTGTGGTGTGGATCGATTTGTCGTGACTTTGGTGCACCAATTAGTTAACAATTTCTATTCCCAGAGTGAAGGGAAAGGTGCTCTTTGATCTGGACTGGTGGGTTTTTCCTTCCAGCTCAAAATAGAACAACACTAGTAAGAGCTATGTTGAGTTCATGGTTGATACTGGTACCCGGACAAGAATGTTACAGGGAGATAAGGTGCTAAATAAAGTTAAAAGAAAACAACGCTGCTAATTGCAGCTCCATTCAAATGTCAGGCTGCACAAATTGTAGGGGAGAATTGTAGGGGAACTGGGCAAGATCCTCCACCAGAGTAAACATGAAAAACCGGTGGGCTCTTGTACTTATTTACACCCCTGAGGGATCTGGCTCCATCTTAGGAATACAAAACCAGAAGTGTTAAAATGAGACTTTGAAAAACTTGTTACTAAACCAACAACATCCTAACCAGGTTTCCCCCCCCCCTCCACCAGAGCATGAAGAACAAACCAGCTTAATAAAAACAGCATTTCAAAGGAAAAATTTCCTGAATCAGGTCAAAATAGAGCCTGATTCTTCTATTTTGATGAACTGTTCTTTCTTGAAACAAGCCTGCAAGAAAAATGGCTAATGGAAGAAAGAATGTCACCACTACCCTTGAAGGCTCACTGTTTGAGGGCCAGCCTGATAAAGTCTTGATATTAAAGCTAACAAATGTGTTTCTTTATGTAAGTGTTCCACTTTGTTTTATAGACCAACATAACATTGTCAGGGTTATACAAAGCCTTATCCTGGAGCCAGCTGCAAAATATAACACACAGAGTTCAGCCAAACGAGAGGCTGTGTGTTCATGCAAAAATGATGTTTTTCTTCATAAAACTTGTCAAAATCTTTAAAAAATATTATGGCATAGTGTCGTTACTTATCCACTGATTAACAAAACAGAGAATAGAATCTTCACTCTGTCTGAACCTAGGAAAATGGGATTTCTGTATTGCTTATGCAGTGTCCTTGCAAGAGAAAAGTTAGGGGGTATTATATACGTAAATGGCTGAACAGGGAGGAAAATTGGGAAGATCTAAATTTGATCTTCAGTAGTCAGTGAGAAATTGTTCCAAAGAACCAAAATTTGTTTCAATAAATTTTTTACTTTAAAAGAAAAAAAAATCTCAAATATATTCCACAGCCTAATATATTGAATTGTTTTTCAAGACAGAAATATTTTCATAAGGTTTTAGGTTGGAATTCCAATACTGGCTAAATATTTCAAAGAATTGTCACAAATAAAGGAATTTTAAAGTATTTAAAATTAGGATTTAGGTAATATTTAAAGACCTTTTCCCAGAGTCAAGGAATTAATCAAAATCTACATTTTAAGTGTGTTGCTGATAAATGATAGTATTTGTTTTATGTAGCAAAAAAATCATATTGTTAGATGTTTGCCAGCTTGTTCAAGGTAAAAACTAACTGGTAAAAACTAAATGGTAAAACATGTCTGGCACAGGTGAAAGCAAGAGCATACTTAAATAAAAGTGTCAAATAAATGACTACTTAGTGAAGATAATCCAGGGTACAATTATCTTTAATGTATATTAAGTTGCTAAAATTGTATATTAATTTGCAACATTTTCAAGATGCATATTTTAACACTGTAATGGAAATTCCCTTTTTTTCCCCTTCTTAAGTTGCCTTGTCTTGATCTTAATCATGTTTATTTTACAAAAAACCAGAATTATGTTAAGTGGAAGAAGAGAAAAAAAGCGAGTGTGGTATATATGTGAAAGAGTTAAAAATGGGAAGAAGAGGGAGATGAGTGTTCAAATATATTTATGGAGCTTGGTATCTAGGTTTTGATAGTGAAGAAGGTAGGAAGATATGTTGAATAAACAGGATGTGGGTTATAAATATTAAGGTGGAACTACTATGCTGAATTGTTTCTTAGGATAATAATAATAACAATAATAATAATAATAATCTACTTTGAGTATTTACACAACTGCAGCGAAATGAGTAACACCCAGTATATTTTAATTCAAGTTTGCAAGAACTGTTTTAAATCCTTATGTCTTTAAGAGGACTGTGATTCTAAACATGAGATATCACAAGTCACTGTAGCATGATGATAATACAGTGAAGCTGATGGCAAAGCTCCCAATTTTAGAAATTTAATTGGAGCAAGACTAGTAAATTATTAGTTAAAGGCCTTTTTGATCAAAAATGTTTGTACCATCCTGGGCCTCTTTCTGTTATCCTGTACCAAGTTGTGAGCAATATTATGCCTGCAGTGACAGATATGCTCCTGACGTGCTGCATTTTCACTTTGTGGCTGCCAGAGCACCATGCAACATCACACTGCTAAATCACTGATGAACGTTTTCGAGCAGGAATGGCTGCAGCCAGTTAGAGACACCTTGATCTTTTGCCTGATTTCTTCCCTGTGGAAGCCAAGACTCAAACAGTTGGTGTCTGAATGTTCTCTGTCTTCTGAAAGCCTTTAACATGTTGCAATTACAGGTTTCACCACTTCTGGCATGGGAATCTTCTTGTTTGCTGTTAGATTACTTTGTGGGATGGTTTTTGTTTGAATTACGTTTGGGGTTTTTTTTTAATGCCACTTCCATTTCTGCCCAGCTACAGTAGGAGACATGTTAAATATCAGCTTTCAAGGAAAGGAAAGAGTTGTGTTGTCTCAATTTTTGAACTCTTTTTCTTGGAGTAGAGTAAATATTTGGTTGTGTTCCATTTCCTGGAGAATCCACATTTGGATTGAATGAGTAGATCATTATAAAAACATAGTCAATGGTGAAGGTAAATGTCACTTGAACGAAGAATAAAGTCCTAGATTGTTTATACATTTTCATATTGCAAGGTAGGACAAAAACTTTTGAAATATTCCCTATCAATTAAAAAATTCTGCTCACAGACTTGTCATTACTTTAAAAACATTCCTATTAACAGCTATAAAATAACTAAGTACTTAGACCTCAGACAAAAACAACAGTTTGAAACCACAACAATAACATGGTAGACAAATAAACCTCAGCCTTAAGGTTCAAAACAAAAACAAGGGGAAAGAGACACAAGGGTTTGCTTCACTTTCTAAATCCTGGGAAGACTACAGCTTAGCCAATTCAGTAGGGAGATGGAGAGACAGATGTAGGTTTTCATTCATTCATCAAATTTCAATTAAGAACAATTTTCTGAGTACGTGTAGACATTTTCCATTGGATACCTTGGTAATCTCATTTACCATTACTTATAATTAATCTAGATCCATTAATATACAACCTGTGTGCTTTTATGCAAATTAACTTCAGGTTTTAAGTTTAAGCAAAATCTTTGCCACAGGCTCTTGAATACATCCATGCTTCCTTCCCCTGTGTAAATCCAGCAGGTTTTCCCTGTTGGCAGGCATTGCTAGTCAAACATCTTAGCACACCAGCAGAAACTCCAGATACAGAGAGTGTATTCAAAACTGCAGTATGTCCCAAAACACTGACCATCAACTTTTCATAAGTCAGAGATCACATTAATTAATCACTTCCTTAGTAGACTAATCACTGCCAAAAAGACACACTTCCAACAGGTGTTTATGCAGTCTGCTTTCCTGCCAGTCATGTTCAAACAGATGGAGCAGACAGAAAAGAGCAGATAGTCTTCTACTCAGAAAGTTTGAAGTGTCCTTTAATTCCCTCCCTTCTTTACTGATGGGTTATTTTTAACAGTGGATGCAGTCTGCTCAGGAATCTGGGCAGCAGAGAGAAGCAGCCCTGCAGGAGATAGCGAGTGGCATGCACCAGATATCTGAGGCCATCCTGCTGACATCCCTGATTAGCATGATCTGTTTCAATGCTAGCTGAGTGCGTGGTTATGGCTACATTTATTTTATGTGTTTACGTTGTTTCACGGGAATTTAAAGCATATTGGTGCTGTTCTGTGAAAGAATGTTACTGTCCACCAATGCTCAGGTTTGAAGTCCTAAAGCAAAGAAAGACTCTGAGAATATTTATTTAGGCTTATGCCTCACAAACGCTTTCTGTTTTGTTTTCGAAGACATTGGGAATTCTGAGCCATTGATCTCTACCCTCTGGATGCAGCTATCCAGACATTTCCCTATTCACCTCACAGTCTAGCCATTGAATCAGTCTCCAACTTAGAGAGAAGGATGT